TCTTTCTGCTATAGTTAGAAATGCCCCCCCTTTCTCTTCTTTTCTCCCTCCCTCCCTCTGTTCACGTACACACTTACTCACACTCAAGCTCACACTCTCACCCTGGAAATGAAATCCAGAATTCCATGAATGCTACACATGCGCTCTACCAGTGAGCCACATCTCTAGCTCAAAAGCCATCTCTTTTAACAGAAAGAAGTCATCAGATTTCAACAATGTCATCCGAAGATGTAATTTACACACCGACAACTGTGGTGGGGGTAGATGATGTGTGTATCTCTGTTAGGAGACTTTGCAGGGTTCCTCTTATTAAGAACTGGTCATCTCAGGCTGGTGAGATGGCTCATCTGGTAAAGGTGCTTGCCGCCAAGCTTGATGACGTGAGTTGATCCCTGGAACCCACGTGGTGGAAGCAAAGAACTGACTTTCCACAATTTGTCCTCTGACCTCCACATGCACATGGCATGTACACTCCTCCAGCCCCCACAATAAATTAGAATGCAATAATAACACTATAAAAGAACTGGTCACCTGAACACCTCAATATAACAGGGTAAATGAAACCATGACCACAGTGTCCCTGAGGGTGTGACTAAGTGCTTTTGCATGAATTCTTCTCTAACCTCAGATTCTGAAAAGAAGTACATGTTCAACTTCAAACTAGAATTTTAAAGCTCTATTTTTTTTTTTTTTTTTTTTGGTGCCTCTTGATTGAAGAGGAAAAATGGTTGGAACTAAGATAACCGCAGAAGAGAGAAACCTGAGGCAAGTCAATTTTAAAAGAAAAATGGCATATAGGTCAAGTATCCCTAAACTAAAAACCTAAAATCAACAATGTTCCACATCCCAAGTGTCCTGGTTAGCCTTTACTGTTCACTTGACACAGCCCAGAGTCACCGAGAAGGGAGTCTCCAACACTGAGGGATTTCCCAGGTCAGACTGGTCTATGGGTATGTCTTTGGGGGGTTGGTTGTCTTGACTGTTGATTGATGTAGGAAGGCTTAGGCCACAGTGGACCACACTATTCCCTAGGCAGGTCCTGGGCTGTATAAGGAAGCCAGCTATGCATGAGTGTGAGATCAAGCCAGCAGATACTGCTTTTCCACGTTTTCGGCTCCAAGTTCCTGCCCTGACTGCCTTCAGTGATGGGCTGTGAACCTATAAAGTGAAATAAACCCATTCTTCCCCTAAGTTGCATTTGGTTAATGCTTTATCACAGCAACAGGGAAGAAATTTTCTAGAACATCAAGCTTTACAAGAAATCTTATCAGTGCTCTTAGAAAGTTTTGGATTTTGGAGTATTTGGATTTTGGACTATGGCTACTCAAGTGATAAAGTCAATGCAGCATTCCAAAATTTTAAAAAAAAAAAAAAAAAACACAATGAAATATTAGGAAATACTTCTGGTCCCAAGCATTCAGATTAAGGACAACAACCACCCTGTTTGAAGAAAAATAGAAAAGGAAGCTGCGTGGTGATGGCTGTCCATCCTCTAGGCTGTGGAGGAAGTTATTATTTGAAGCAGCTGCCTCAGCTGTCAGACTTCTAAGCCTTCTCTACCCACCTCTGAGTTATTTAAGCCTAGATAGAGCAATGACAGCCAAAGCTATCCAACTTTTCAACTTCCTACTCAAAAAATGAGAGCTTCTCTCAAGCAATCTCCTCTACTGGCTTTCAAAATACAACCTGTTCTACTTCACATATAAAAATAATCATCCTGCTAGCAACCTCTGGTGTCTCATCAGCCAATCAGGCATTGGATTCTATTCCAATTCCAAGGGGTATGCATTAGTTACTTTTCTCACTGCTGTGATCACACAATGACAAGAAGCAACTTTAGGAAGGAAGGGTTTATTTTGGCTTACAGCCTAAGAACAAACAGTCTATCATAGTATAGAAGACATGTCATCAGGAGTATGAGGCAGCTTGTCACATTGTGTCTGCAATCAGGAAGTAGAAGGAGAACAGTAAGTGAGGTTGGTCTAGAAAATCTTAAGGCCTGCCCACAAGGTTCCACTTCCTCCAACAAGGCTCCATTTCCTAAAGGTTCCACAACTTTCCAAAACAGTACTACTAGTTGGGGACCAAGTGTTCAAACATGTAAGCCTATAGGAAATATTTCACACTTAAACCAATAACAGGCTGTGGAGCTACACTTCCTTTCCAGATTCTTCAGGGACTCAAGGCTAAACAAAAATGAAGACATTGATATGCAAAGATATTATATAAAATCAAGAAATATAATAAGAAAAGTCAACTAATAAATTTTCCAACTAATTCTATATGGTCAATATAATAAACCAAACAAAAATATCACAGTAAAGAAAAACTATAAGCCAGTATCTATTATAAATGGAGACATAGAAATCTTTAGCAGAATACTAACAAATTGAATTCAGCAACATTTAAGAAATTATACACCATGATCAAGTAGAAATCTGTCTCAAAAAAGCAAAGTTTAACACCATCAAATCAATTACTGATAAACCCTAAGAATAGAAGAAAAAAATTATCTCAATACAGAAAAAGCATATAATAAATTCAACGTACTTTAGTGATTTTAATGATAGTAATAATAAATGAACTCCAACAAACCAGGAATATAAAGGAGCTTCTTCTATCAGTTAAAGGGTTTCTGTGAAAAGCTCATGGTCAAGCTCAATGGTCAAAAGCTAAATTCTTTCTCTCTAAGATCAGGAAGAAGAGAAGGATCTGCTATCAAATACTTCCATTCAATGTTGTTCTGAAAGCACTAGCCAAAGCAACTAAAAAGCATCTAAATTAGAAAGGAAGAAATACAACTGTATAGATAATCTGATCAGGAACACAGAAAACCTTAAGGAACTTACGAAAAACTATTAGAGCATCAGGTTATAGGATAGAGGATCAACATACAAAAATCAATTTACTTCTATAGTTTTTTAAAGAGTTTATTTTTATTAATGTGCATGTGTGAGTGTCTGTATGTGTACACACACATGAGTATGGGTTCCCACGGAGGCCAGAAAAAAGCATTGAATTCCTTGCTACTGGATTTTAGGTGGGTCTATACATTTTTTATAAAGACTTAAATAAATGGAAAGACCACACTCCATATTCCTAGATCAGAAAGCTTAGTTTAGAATAGAAATTGTTCTCAAATTGATCTACAGATTGAATAAAATCTGTATCAAATTCCAAATGGCTTTGGAGAAGCTGATCCAAATATTCATGTAGAAATGCAATATACCCAGAATAGCTAAAACCATCTGGAAGAGAGGTTAGAAAACTCACACAGCTCTATTTAAAAACTTAATACAAAGCTATCATAATCACAACAGTGTGGTACCAACACAAGGACAGACCTAAGAAGTGAAAGTCCCAAAACAAACCCTTACATCTTTAAGAGGCATCAAGATGCCAGGCGTGGTGGCACACATCTTTAATCCCAGCACTGCGGAGGCAGAGACAGGCAGAGCTCTGTGAGTTCAAGGCCAGCCTGGTCCACATAGTGAGTTACAGGCCAGCTGGGACTACTGAGAGACTTTATCTCAAAAAACAAAAAAAAAAAGATATCAAGATGATTTGCCTCCTCACCACACCACATGCAAAAATTAAGTCAAAATCCTACAAGCATCTACAACCTACATGAGATAAAACTACAAAACTCATAAAAGAAACTGAAATACAAATCTTTGCTACTGTACATTAGGCAATGGTTTTCTAGCCATAATACCAAAAGCACAAGCAACAAAGAAATAAAATGGACTTCATTAAAATTTCTTTGCCTCAAAGGACATCAGGAGAATGAAAGGTAATCTTCAGAATGAAGAAAATTTTTGTAAATCATACATCTGATAAGAAACTTGCATCTTGAATATAGAAAAATTATACTAAATCATTAATGAAAAATAACCCAACTAAAAATGAGGGAAAGATATGAACAGATATTTCTCCAAATGGCAATAAATACGTGAAAAGATGCTGAAATAATTGACCAGCATCAGGGAAATGCTAATCAAAACTTAGTAAGATAATACTTTCATACCACTATAGTGGCTAAAGAAAGAAAGATCAGAAAGTGTTGACAAAGATACAGACATAGGAACAGGGCTAGGGAAATGGCTCAGTGTAAAGAGAGCTTGCTGTGTATGCACAAGGACATGAGTTCAAATCCCCAGCACCCACGTAAAAAGTTGAGTCTGTAACCCCAGCATTGGGAGATGAGACAGGTGGATCCTAGAGCTTGTTGGTCAGTCAGTGTATCTAAAATGGTGAGCTTCTGGTTCATCTAGAGACCCTGTCTTAAAGGAGTAAAGCAGGGAGCAATAGAGGAAGACACCAAGTCCTCCTTTGGCCTCTGTATGCACACACAGAACACACAGGCACACCCCCACACACACTCACAAGTATAGCACTATACCACAGACACACACCAAAATTTTTTAATTAAAAAAATTTTAAAGATGTAGGACCACACTGATGTTGGGAACAAAAAATGGTGCAAACACTTGAAGAAAAAAAATGTTCCTTTAAAAGATGAAAGTTACCATATGATCCCAAAATTCCATTCCTAGGTAAATACTCAAGAAAAATCAAAGCATTATGTCCACAAGCCCATCATCTGTTAAGTGGATAAATAAAATGTGGTAGAGGTGTATCATTGGATATTATTTAGCAATGAAAAAAAATGAGGATTACTTATAATCAACAAATCTTGAGGCTACTAGGTTAAATAAGTTATGCCACAAAGGACTACTTACATAAAATGTTTAGACTAGGCATACCTACCAGTATTAAAAGTAAACAAGTGGTTGCTTAGGGCTGGGCAGGCTGAGGGAAAACGGGGACTATTACTATTATGGGGACTTGGTCTGTTTTTGAGATGATGAAAATGTCTTATGATCAGGCAATACTCATAGCTGCAGAACTTTCTGAACATATACTCCAAACCATTTGAAAAGTGGGTAAATTATGTAGTATGCGTATCACTTCTCAATAAATTTTTTTTTTTAATTTACCTTGAAGGAGTTGGATCATCTTGGCCAAGGCGTGACATAATATTTATAAGGGTGTTAATTCCTATTAAAAAAAAAAAAAACCACAAAGATATACATAAATACTTCAAGAAGTATTTTAGGACCACTATATGAAACATAAAGGAATTTTCTTCACCCTAGTTTGACTTTTAAAAGTTTAATATTTTAAGCCAGGCATGGTGGTGCACACCTTGGGAGGCAGAGACAAGTGTCTCTCTCAAGTTCAAGGCCAGTCTGGTCTACACAGTGAGTTCCAGGCTGGCTGGGGCTACAGGAAGACCCTGTCTCAAAAAAGAGCCCCACCCCCAAAAGTTTATTATTTTATAGAAGAAAGAAAATCTTCTAAAATAGTCATCCATCTTTGTTATACTGCTCTTCCCAAGGTGAACGTTACTAAGTATGGGTCAGAAGCAATAGAGAGTGAGAGGATTAAGAAGTCAGCTGGGATCCACTGCAGAGAGGGGGCACGGGCCATGCACAATGAGAGCAGTATCTGGGCACGGTCCAAACAAACCTTTTTTTCGCATGTGCATGTGATGAACTTTTCTATCTCCATATTTTGGCTGTCGAATTCCACAATTAGACAGAGAATTCCGGGCATGATCAGGATTCATTCCAAAATTTAAATGATGACTTGGATGAGTCATGGCCAGCTAAAATTTCAATGAAATAAACTCAGTTTTAGAAATGCAGAACAGAGGCACCATAACACTACAAACGACATGAGAAAGGGACCTTGGCTCCTCCACAATCAAATTTCCACAACTTTGTTGCAAACTCTTTTGAAAGCCCTAAAATTCCACATCTTTCAGAAGAGAATTAGAATCCTAGGCACCTGGAAAGAAGAGCCATAAACAAGGGAAGGCTGAGTTAATACTGACAGGCAGACTCTAGTATTAGCCTATATTTGTAGGGACAGCTTCAAATACATGAGAGAAAGGGTTTGGAAGCAGTAGAGACACACGAGAGAGCAAGAGAGGGTTGGTTATGTCTCAAAAAATCCTTATCTCCAAGAAGAGAATCCAATGCTGCATGTGTAATCTGCAAAGAACTTGCTCTATCTTTTTGTGAATGTTCACAGCAGAACAATTCTTACTGGTATCAGAGCAAGTCTTACCTGTAGCAGACAGCGATCTTGGAAAGTATATCCTATCAACTTGTCCAGGTGCATTAGGCACTGGTGGTAGCGGATATGATGGGTCAGAACTGGCAGCATCATTGCATGCTGAGAAAAAATATTTCAATATATTATATAAAAACTTACAAAAACATTTCATTTATTTCACAACAAATAAGAACTATGTTCGCAACCCCAATTCCATCTCGTATAAATTCAGAAGCAGTTTACCAGCTATGTGGCATCCTAAAGAATTTTCTACAAGGAACAGTACACCAGTTATTCTGAAAACAGAAGGCCTGGGTTCAAATCTTGTTCTATCACACTCATTGTGTGACTTGGGACTATTTTACTCTGCCTATTTCCTCACTTCTAAAATGAGGGTATTAAATATAGCTAACCCCAAGGACAGTTAAAGGGATAAAATTTTAAGACTTCTCCACACTGTTTTCCATAGTGGTTACACAAATTTACAATCCCATCAGCAGTGAATGAGCATTACCTTTTTTCAACATCCTCCCCAGCACTTGGTATCTTGTGTTCTCTTGATCTTAGTCAGTCTGAGTGGGGCAAGATGGAATCTTAGAGTGGTTTTTAATCTGCATTTCTCTAGTGCCTAAGAATGTTGAGCACTTTTTAAGGTGTTCCTTATCCATTTTCATTTCTTCGTTTGAGAACTCTCTGTTCAGATCCATAGCCCATCTTTTTATTGGGTCTTTTTTTTTTTTTCTTATTTGTTTTTTGAGTTCTTTGGATATTCTGGATTTCATGGACCAACCCTGGCTCTTGCAATCTTTCCACTACCTACTCTAGCTATCTAATTGTAGTTAAAGTCCTCTCAAGAACTCAGGTGGCATTGTAATTATAGCCAAACATACATGGCTAGAGAGGTCATAGATCCTAGAGAAAACCCTATCTCTGTCATATCTCTAGACAAATGAAATTTCTTACCATATCCTAAATATGGATCCTTATATTTACAGACAAGCATACAGTACACCACTTATCAAAGACACTTCTTTTTGCAACAGACAGAAGCTACTGCAGAATTCCACAACTGGTCACACACAGAAATGTGTCTGAGAGATACCCACAGCAAGGTGACACATCTACAGTGGAACCTCTTCACCTAAGGCTCACAGAACATAGTAGAACAGGGGGTGGAGAGAATACTAGTGCATCCCTCAACTCTCACCAGCAAAGCTTCCTTATACAACAGAGTATGATGCACACAGAAGGCCACAACTGGCCTAGTTTAGAGAATAAGAGACTGCAGAGTGTGTACGTCCTATATTAAACCTCATCCACCCACGGCTCAGGGACTGTTGTGGAAGAGGAGGGTGAAAAGATTTTAAGAGCCAGGGTTGGTCCATTAACATAGGGAAACAGAGGCTTTTAGGCCACTGGAAGCCTCATGTGACCTTGTGGCAATGGTGGCATTGAACAACAAGGCCCACCAGTCCTAGCCTGAGACTGATTATTGCTGGGTAAGTGAGAATAGACCTTCCTTAAGATCTATAGATAGGTTGAATAAACTCCAGTGGAGGAACTTGTACCAAAGGACATCTGGATAAAACAGATGGCCAGATGGGGCTTAACATGTAGGGTAGAATACATGAGGCCCAGTGGTGGGTAGGGGGAGAGGAAACATGGATGGGAGAGAAGGTCTTAACTTGATTAAGAATTGTATGAAATGTACAAAAGCTCAATAAAAAATATTTTTTAAAAAGGATAAAAAACATATTTAAAAATCTTTTACATAAGTTTCTCCTCTATTGTGTGTGTGGTGTGTGTGCAAGTGTGCTAGCCTTTGTATGCATGTGTGGAGACCAGAGGTCAACTTCTTCAATCACTCTCCACCGTCTCTCACTCAACTTAGAGCTTCCTGTTTTGGCTAGACCAGTTGACCAATAAATACCAGGGATCTGCCTGTTTCCTGCCTATGCCCTGGGAATACAGGAACATGTCACCCCACCCAGCTTGTATGTCAGTGCTGGGATCTGAATTCAGGTCCTCTCACTTATGCAGCACTTTACCTACTGAACATCTCTCTAGTCCCTGTTTATTTTTTAATCAAGGCCTTGCTAAATAGCCTAGGTTAACTTGGAACTTGCTATGTAGAAGGATGTCCTTGAACTCACACTCCTCCTGCCTCAATTCCCCAAGTGCTGGGATTATGAACATCTTATCACAAGGACTATTAGCCCTCTTTCAAGCAGAAATAGCTTGGCTATTTCAGAGCAGCCTCAAATGAAGCACATGCCTTTCTGTGCCTCCTTGCCTCTAATTACAAGGGAATAAATTAATACTCATTTATACATTTTAGGGTCAAGACATTTTGACACCCAAAAAATAACAACTCCAGAAAAATTTCCATGTATGTATATATATGGTAAAATGTATGCAAATTTAATGTGTTCACAAACCTCTAAATCCCACCATTATCCTTTAAGAACTTCTTAATCACATGCTCTCCCAAAGACACACTAGGTTTAACATTTACTGAACAAACACTCCAAAGACAACCTTTATAAAACCACCAGTACAGTTACAGCACCTGAGGACATGGAACTTATACTTTTGCTTCAATCATTTTTCATCTGGCTAAAGATTCCTTATTGGGAGACAATTTTATGAAAAGTATATCTTTCTTTTTTTTAAATAATGTTTCTCTGGAACTCAAAAGAATGAAGGAAACATTCTTATTCATCAGATCCTGAAGGGTGGGCACAGCCTACAGAATGATTGACATCTGCTTTGTATCAATTCAGTCTTTGAAGTATTTTAAGCTGGCATTATTAAAAAATACATGAAAATGGGTTTGCTTGAAGCTACAAAAATCAGTCTTATATTATTATAAAGAAATAATAGTTCTACCAAATAGAATCTAATCAACAGAAAGTCTTTCTTGCCAGTTCAATTCATTAAGTATACACTGAGTGCCTCCATGTGCAAGGCCTTACGACATCTGTGAGAGATAAAAAGGATGAACATAGTTTTTGCATCAATGGCTTCCAAGAGACACACCATTATAATCTGAATTATTGGAACTTAGAGCATTTTGTTTTTTCTAAGTACAATATTTAAAAATGCAACAATATGAGCATAAAGTATGCAGCAAATGTAACATAGTTTTCCAGTCACTCAAATTGCAGGAGGCTCAAGGTGAGGGTTATGAGGAAAAAACACAGTGTAGCCTGGGACTCTCAGCTTGACAAATTGCTTATTTTTTTAACACCTTGTGTGAGGGATGAACCAGTACCTGTTGAGAAAAATCATACCCTTTTTAGAGTTCAGTGATTATTTAAAATTCCAACAAATTTGAAGACCACATTGATTCTATCTAGTTGTACCCTAGAAACAATGAAAACCCATTTCAGGGCTAGCAAGACGGCTCAGCAGGTGAAGGGTCTGCAATGCAAACATGGCAACTTGAGTTCAATTCCTGGAAACAACATAGAAGTGGAAGGAGAGAACCAAATCTACAAAGTTGTCTCTGGCCTGTGCACCTGCACTGTGGTGTGCACATGTTCCCCTCTCCATGTGCACAGACACACTAATAATAAAATAATTTTTTAAAAAACCACATATCACTGGGCATGGTGGCGCACGAACCAAAGTCTTCTGCAAGAACAGTCAGTATTCTTAACTTCTGAGCCATTTCTCCAGCCCCCTTTTTCTCTTTTTAAAAACTATTTTATGCCGGGCGTGCTGGTGCATGCCTGTAGTACCAGCACTTGGGAGGCAGAGGCAGGTGGATCTCTGTGAGTTCAAGGCCAGCCTGGTCTACAAAGTGAGTTCCAGATCAGCTGGGCTACAGGGAGACCCTGTCTCAAAAAGACCAAAAAATAACCAAAAAACAGAAACCCCCATATCATGATATGACCCTCTTAGCTAATCCTAAATTTTATTTCTTTTCACCTTTTCTCATGTGAAACAACTTTGAATTCTTTCACCTCTTTCTCTAAATTTGCTCCAAACATCCAGTTTCTCCTTCCAAAAAAATATATTTCATATGAGTACTATGGAGAGGTACGTATAACCCACATCCAGCTTGATCCCAGGCTCCCAGACAACCACATCTCAATGTTATCTATAAATCATCTCCAGCTTTTTTTTACATTAATTATGTGTGTGTGTACATGTGCACACCCATGTCACAGCACACCTATGAAGGAGTCAGTTCTCTCCTAACATGTGGGTCCTAGGAATTGAACTCAGATCATCAGGTTTCAAGGTAAGTGCCTTTACTGACTAAGCCATCTTACTGACTCCTTCAGCTTGCTTTAAAAAATTATTTTTGAAATGTTGAAATATAATCACTGAGCACCTTTACTTTTCCCCGTAATTGACGGCAAGTGTTTGCTTATTTAAAAGAAAAATAAAAAGGAGGAAAAAAAAGTTCCTTTGGAATACTGTGAGAAAATGGCATAGTTTTCAAATTTCAAATTTTCTCATAAAAATCAGGCAACAAGGCTCCTGATGCCCCAACCCTAGCTTCAGAGCTAATGGCAATTGATGGCTGCTGATGGAGGGTCATTTTTCATTGGGTGGGTTGCCCTTGCTCCATGGATGACCCCCTACCCCCAACACACACATATGCACATGAGTGGCACAAACTAGACTTAGTGGCTTATTTAAAAATTAAAAGAGTGATCTGAAGTAGGGAGGGAGATGGGAGATATATGTTGGGGTGAGCTGGGGGGAGATGGAGGGAGAGAATGGGGGATGGATATGACCAAAATACAATATACATGTACGAAATTTTCCAAAAATAAATAAAACTTGAAAAAATATTTCAAGCAACTAGATTAGCAAAACCAAAGACTCTGAACAAGATCTACATAAAAATGAGAAGAAAGGGAATCCCCATGAACCTCTAAATCAGAGTATCTGTACAAGAGGAAGAGGAGAGTAACAAGGTTTTGATGGCCCAGAGACTGAGGCACTACAAATAAGCAGCAGGTTTCCTTGGTAAATATGAGCAAAAGTAGAGAAGGCTATGCAAAACCCAGTGCCCTCAGGGAGGACAAAGGGACTGCCCAGCAGTACTGGAGAGGCTTAGCCCTTCTCTTGAACCTGCAGCAGAAGCTCCCAAATCCAATGGGAGTAACAGAAACTTAGGAGAGACAACAGAGGCGACAGAAAGAGAATGTCTAGATGAAGACAGAGCAAGGAAGCAGGCAGGCGATCTCAGCATGAGGCTGTATTTTTAACATTTCACAGAAACAGGAGTTTAAGAACCACAGAAGTCTAGCCTGGCTGCCATCTTCCTCCTAAAAGTACAGGAAAATATTTCTCTTCTTTTACTTAATTAATTCAACTTAAATAGCAAGAGAAGACAATCGTAACCAAGTCTCACCCAAGGATTTTATAAGGAAAAATGTTTTTGTTTTTGTTTTTTTGGACTTTTTTGAGACAGGGTCTCCCTGTAGCCCCAGCTGTCCTGGAACTCACTATGTAGACCAGGCTGGCCTTGAACTCACAGAGATCTTCCTGCCTCTGCCTCCTGAGTGCTGGGATTAAAGGTGTGCGCCACTACGCCCGGCTAGAAAAAAAATGTTTTTTTTAAAATAAAGATACCAACAGAAAGAAGCTGTAATCTAATGCCTGTTACAAAAGCTACAACCTAATATTTCTTTAAAAAAAAAAAAAAAAAAAAACCTAAAGGAAATTAAGAAAATAAAAGCTATAAATACAAACTATAAAGTTTCATATAAATTGAGAAATGCTACTGGAAAGGAGAAAGAAAGATGTGGAAAATGACAAAACTCCAAGAGCACAGGCTAACCAAGGAGCACAAAAACAAACGATGTCAACGCAGGGCAGAAAGAGGTGCTAATTTTAAGAATTAACCTGCAAGCTGGGAGCAGAGCACACCTATACCCAGCACTCAGTAGGCTTAGGTAGGAGGATTTTTGAGATGCTGTCTTAAAAACAGAAATAAAGCCAGGCGTAGTGGCGCACACCTCTAATCCCAGCACTCAGGCAGAGGCAGGCCGATCTCTATGAGTTCAAGGACAGCCTGGTCTACATAGTGATTTCCAGGACAGCTAGGGCTACAGGGAGACCCTGCTTCAAAAAGACAAAAAAAAAAAAAAAAAAAAAAAAAAAAAACAGAAATAAAAGTAATTAAGACTTGGGGTTGGAGCAACAGCTCAGTGGTTAAGAGCACCTACTGCTCTTGCAGAGGACCCAGCCCCCACAGGGCAGCTCACAGTGACCCAATGCCCTCTTCTTACCTCTTTGTACACCAGGCACACACATGGTACACCTCTCCGTACAGCAGGCACATACATGGTACACATATATACATGCAAGCAAAACATTCATACATATAAAATTAAGAAAAAAAATCTTTTCTGAAAATAATAAAATAAATAAGAATTAACCTGAACTGAAAGAGCATCATGTCAAATCACTGCTGGGTGAGAAGGAAGATATGATTAGAAACAGAGAGTGGCTATTTTCAGTAACAATTCTTTATTTAAAGCTGTGGGTTCAATGCTTTAAAACACTGTGCTATAAAGAAAATATTTTTTAAAGGAGGGGGGCTAGAGAGATGGCTCAGCAGTTAAGAGCACTGACTGCTCTTGCAGAGGACCCAGGTTCAATTCCCAGCACCCACATGGCGGCTTCGAACCGTCCTTAGTTCCAGTTCCTGGGGAATCCGAAGCCCTCTTCTGATCTCCGCAACATTGACAACATGGGTGCACTCACATACATGCAGGCAATACACTCATACACATAAAAATAAAAATAATAAAGAAAAAAAAAAACCAAAAAACCCCACTGTGTTTAGGGGAACCCAGCTGGCTTCAGGAATAGAGAAAAATCAAGTGAAACAGGATACTCCTACACCCATCACCAGTCAGCCATTTTTTTATCTTCTTACAAATGGCTTTCCAATACTTTTGATTGAAATATACAAAGCTATAATCAAAAAGTTTAAAACCACTCAACTTGAAGATCTCTAAGGTCTCTTCCTGTTCACAATGTATCACACTCTTAGGATTTTTTTTCCTGAGGTGCTGGAGCTCAAATCCTAGGCCTCATGAATGCTAGATAAGCACTCTACCACAAAGCTGTTAACATCCAACCCTAAAATTTCATGACTCAATCAACTGCGAATTATCACTGAAATTAACAGATTTCTGAGTAGACTGCTCACCATTCTGTTCACTGTTATGATATCATCTTATGTTTGGTCCTAGAGAAATACCACCAACCAGAAAAATTAGGTGATATGACTTCAAATGATCCTGAGAGAGAATCAAAGCAAGCAAAATATTTGCATCTCAAAGCACTGACAGTAAAACTGGTCATGCTGGACATGGAGGCACATTCCTGTAATCCCAGCACTCAGGAGGCTGAAGCAGGAGGACCCTTCTAAGTTCATGGCCAGCCTGGACTACAGAGCAAGTTCCAGGCAGACATGTCTTAAGAAAAGAGAGAAAAAAAAGGAAATTAGTCAACTGGCAAAATACCACTATAGCTGATTATTCTCCAACTATTTAATAATATTACATCAATGGCAGTCCATTTTAATGCAAAATAAGTTTAGCTTTGACCGTCATTCAGAAAATGAATTGTATAGCAATACTTACTTGATAAACTCCACTGTTCAATATAATTAAATAGCAATACATTTTTTTTAATTCATTACAATGAAATGGATACCTAAGAATACTCATCTTGAACTTGTTACAACACATACTACCAATGAACAGATATGTGGAAGTTTGGTTTTTTTAATTGAATTTCTGTGATTTTCATACAATATAATTTGATGGTATTTAGAAATGCCCTTTTCTGCACTTCCCCTTATTGCCCACCAACCAATTTTATGTACTTTATTATATAGAGCCTACAGTCTAATTTGTGCCCTCAAATGTCCTTTAGTGTGGTGCATCCACTGGAGCCTAGCTAACCTACCAAGAATCCCATCCTTGAAAGAGATTGTCTCTGCCCCTCCCAGCAGCCATCTGTTGCCATGATTTCCTAAGGTTGGATTGAAAAGTTTTCTTCCCCACGACCTGCCCTAAACTCATTTTCTTTATTTTTCATGTACTTTATTCAATACCAATCATGGCAAAAGAATCAAGTAAAAAGACACAGAATCTGTTGGTTTGGTAGGATAAATTACAATGACAGAAAAATAAAAATGCTTACTAAAGAGTCAGTAATAAAAGCTGAAATGGTTCTCTACTAAGTTCACCCAAGGGAAAAAGGACTCTCATGACTAAATGTGAAACGCATGCTGTGTTCACTGATATCTCAAAAATTTGAGTCACCAGTCCAGAAAGTTTGCATACTCCTGATGTCTATCTGTATTGGCTGATGTACTTTTGTATAGTCCATGTATTGCAAATAGGTACATACATTTGAAGGTAGACTTGTCTTCATTCAAGAGACTTAATTAAACATTCCATATATACTTTACCCCCCCTACACACACAGAGTCAAAACAGAAAACAAAAACAAAACTCAAACAAATAAAAAGAATCTATGGTGGCTATCCATTTAGAATCAGGGTAGTATGAGCCATAGAAATGTTTCTCAATTAGAAAAAGCTCAGTGCCTATAAGAGGGAGAGGTATGGGCATGACTGCGTTTAGAGAAATGTCAGTACCTGACAGACATCAGAACGAATGCCGGTTTTCCAGAATCCTTGGCTGCTTAGCTCCACTGTTACCTCTCGTCTCATTGTATTCTTCTGTCGTATTTTTTGGAGTGCTTCCTAGAAAAGAACTCATATGATAAGTAACTCAATAGCTGTAAAGTAATACTTAAGCCAAATATTAAGCATTAGAAAACAAGTTAGATTCCTTCAGTAGTTTCCTTACATTCAGGTGCTAAAACTCCCCCATGCAAAATTACAATAGTTTATTTGAAATAAAGGCCAGGATGTATGACACTTTGGTTATGAGACAATGCTTCCTATTAACCACATGACAAAGATTCTAAACCAAACCAATCAACCTGGCATGTCTGAACAAAATATGCTTTCACTATTAAAAGAAGCAATATGTGGTGCTTGAGATTTGCTATCACAAATCTTTGTGAGTGTATGTATGTATGTATGTATGTATGTATGTATGTGTGTACACATCTCAAGCCTTACATTAAGCATTTCCATTGAAGAAAGACAATTAACCTGCTACCCATATAATTCTAAAAGTTGCCTTCTAATTTGCAAAATCTTACATACTTGATAGAGGGGTACATTTTGTTTAGAAAACAAAAAAAGCAAAAGCAAAGAAAAGCCAAGAATGACAGCTTGAGGGCACACACCTATAATTCCAGCACAAAGCTAAGTTAGGATGGCTACAAGTTTGACACAACCCAAACTATAAAATGAGACTCTGTCTCAAAAAGAAGGGAGGGAAGGAGGGAAAATAATGAAGACAATGAACTAAAACTTCACCTGTGAGACATAATTAGAAACTAAGAACTCTTTTTCGCTACTTTTCACACAACTAAATGTGTAAAAAAACTGTATTTGTATGCATGCAATTTACTAAAAATTTCAGGAATTCATAATAAAAGCAGAAACTACTACCACCTTCACTACTGAGGATGTCCTACTATAGGTTAAACACTAGGGGAGGGACATTAAAGGGAGCACTTCACAAGTGCACACAAGCACCTTTTTCCTTGGGTGCCCAAAACTGAGGCATTTCAGCCAGCCAAGGAATGGGGTCCATACCCACCTCCCTCTGTGCGAGCTTCTGCTTGTCAGTTTGTTTGACTTTGGGACTATTTGCTAGAAGATGGCGAAGTTTCACATAACTCTTCCATAGTTTCTGGTACCTAAGGAAAAGGACAAGTGACCATCTTAGACAAAGGGAAGGCAAATCTGAAGTGAAATAAGACCAATCACTTTAATAGACTTGCTCAATCGTACATATATATCTTTAAACATCTTAATAGCAGAAAAAGCTCTTTCTAAGGAAACATGGTTTGAGGTTTCAGGGCAGAATAGTCAAGTGTCATCTAGAACCTCATGATGAAGCAGATGACTGCTTATGTGGGTTGAAATGAGGTACAGACTGAATGGGTGGGTCTCTGGAAATATTTCTAAAGAAGGCACACAAAAACGCCTTAGCCAATAGAAGCATGTTTCTTTTGGCAATGTTACTCTTTATGTTACCTCTTCATATGTAAAGGATATTATTTAAATGTAAAATATAACTTTTATAAAAGAAAAGTCCCTTTTAAAATAGGGATAGTCAGTTCAAGAGTATTGGAATGGAGAACCCCATTAGTGCTAATACTCAAGTTACTTAGCTGTACTCATTTTTCTGCTGGAAAGGGGAAAAGACAAACACTGTATACCGATTTGTATCTACCATTATAAAAATTGGCACATTAGTTGCATCCAAGTATGTGATAACCTGGATTGGTCTAAGTGGTTCTGTTAAAAGTGACCTAGGAATGCGAGACTTTGAGCCCTGTTCACGTTCCTGCCACCTGAGAGTCGACAAAAGCCCGATCACATTCTACTAACATTTTTCTGACAAGAAGGGATTTGCAAAAGATTTCCTGTCATGTTGAAACCGTTCCTTTTCTGACCTGAGCTGGGCTTCTCCTTTGTCAACATTTTTTAGAGAATGGAGGAAAGAAAGAAGTACTTACACAGTGCCTGCTTCACTGCTTCATACTTTTATCCAAAGAGGGAAAAAAAAGAACAAAACCCTTTAGCCTCTTCTAATATATGTCAGCCAGAACTGTATTTATGAATTGAAAATTTCCCATGCCCTTATCTCCCACTATGAATTCTTTAAAAAAAAAAAAAAAAAAAAAAAGCTAAATCAAGGAATTGTTTGTTTAAAAGGTAGGCAATCCAAACACACCTGAAAAATATAATGATTCTATCTATCTCCATCCCATACAGCCTCATCTTCTCCCAGAAAAATCTCGGTAAGCCAGTGGGAAAAGCCCAAATCGGCAAAGCAACACCACTTCGGAGAGCAGCAAGCTATGACTCCTATTCCCATACAACCCTTAGTTCTGCATGGGATCTTAAGAACCCCAAATGCAACTCTGCATTAATCAGCAGTGCTAGGAACCAATATAGTGCTACTTTCCTTTAAGGGTACTGAACATTTTTTTTTCAATCCAGTTATTATTATAATTACTAATAAAGACAAGGCTCCTTAGTGTTGGAAACCATGCAGGGCACATGTTGACCAAGACTGTAAGGGAGATTCTACTGAGTAATTTATTGCAGTCAAATATGTAGAGAAAATCATTCTTTGGGAGCCACCAAACCCCAATCTATAAATTTGGAAACATGGTTCATTTCAGGACTTAATTTTTTTAAAAAGGAAATGTCCACTAACAGGTCTCCTCAGCTATTCAGCTGTTAGTAGAAGGTGAAATTGGCTAAGACAAACACCGAGAAATATCTTACTGTGGGTCTCCTGCATAACTCAACTGTGCAGGGCGTATCCCAAAGTGGACGATAATTGGGAAAGTAATCACATCAGGGTTGAACTGTTCACGATCCAGTTGATCGATGCGGACAGAGCTTGGTTTCTGGAAGGAAAAAAGATCAAAAGCCATTTATTCCCCTAAAAAGACTTGCAGTATTGACTTAAACCTAAGTAGGGAAGGAATGAATTAGATTTCAGGAAAGCCTTGTCTCCAAAAGGAAAGATGTCATTTAAAATCCTTTAGTCATAGCAGTCATGCTATATAAAAACTATCATGTTATCCCTACAAACAAGTCTCTGCCATTTGGCATAATGAACAGTGAGTGATTCTATCCTTTGTTGCAATTCACATAGAAACCTTTAAAAATTAAACTTTTAAAGGGGCACCTAATCAGATATAACTTTTCCTTAGCCTCTCCAAGGCACAAGGGAAGAATTCCACATCACAGGAAAGGGATGTGCAAACTTAAGTCAGCAGCAATTTCATTTTCAAATGAACAACTTTAGGATGAACAGACAGATGTCCCTTTAGATTTTCCATTAGTTCTCAGTGTTACCTTGTATATTTCTTAATTCCGCATTTAGATTAGAAGGTATGATATAGTCAAATAGCTAGTTTTCTCCTATTATATCTACACAGAACATCTTCATTTTAACAAAGAGCCTTGTGATTTTGTTTGTTTTCTTGGTATTTAGTAAAGGAAGAAGTCAACAATTGGTTCCACCATCTGTGAAAAGCCTTACATTCTAAAGGTTTAGATTTGTGAAAAGATGGTAAAATCATGGGATATGTTTCAGCAACCCCCTTACTCATAATCAACACTCAGGGCAGTCCCTACTTGATGATTCAAATTTTACAGATTGTGGGGTCTTTAGCACAGTTGCTTTAGAGCCTATGAATGAATGCCCCATAAAAACATCCAACAGTTACAGAGCTTGGTTTGTCTGGGACAGAGCTATTTCAGTTCGAAAACCAGGAAAGCCCCCAGCAACTGGGACAAGGTTGTCCCTTACAATTACAGCCTCCTTGGCCCGCTGATGAACACAACTAGAAGACAAAGAGGACAGACGTATGCAAATTCACTCACAACATTAAAAACAATGCTAAATTTTAAAAATTTAATGTTACTTAATCAAAATCTCAGTAGTACCATGAAAAGTCATTCTCTGCTATCAAAATCAAGGAATGGAACAGATTTTGACCACTGGTAACCTAAATATAAAATTATCTGAATGCTCTTTGACACTAGAAACAAGTTATTTAGGTCTAAAAATTTTTAATTTGGGGAACACAAATTAAGACTCAACAGGCCTTTAAAAATAATAATAGAAGACATGAGGGGGTGATACAGTAGGGGTAGAGATGGGGAAAGGGTCCTGAATATGATCAAAATATACTGAATGAAATTCTCAAAGAATTTAAAAAAAATTTTTAGAAAAGAATTTTTAAAAATTTGTTTTATCATCAAAGTGGCAGGCTACATTTTTTTCAAAGAACTGTTCAAAGAATGCTAATGAATCATTTGTGTTTCTGTAATATTAGTAGCATGTTATTTTATCAACAAAAAGTGATCTTAAAATATCTGTAGAGGGGTGTGGGCCATAAATGCAGTTACGCAGAAGACTGAAATAAGAAGGTCACTTGAGCCTAGCAGTTTGAGACCAACCTGAGCAACATAACAAAGAATCATCTGAAAAAGTTATCTCTAGATAACTAGGGAAATAACACAGGCCTGTAATCCCAGCACGGGGAGGTGGAGGCAGAAGAATCAGGAATTTAAGGCCTGTCTTATTTTATCAACAAAAAGTGATCTTAAAATATCTGTAGAGGGGTGTGGGCCATAAATGCAGTTACGCAGAAGACTGAAATAAGAAGGTCACTTGAGCCTAGCAGTTTGAGACCAACCTGAGCAACATAACAAAGAATCATCTGAAAAAGTTATCTCTAGATAACTAGGGAAATAACACAGGCCTGTAATCCCAGCACGGGGAGGTGGAGGCAGAAGAATCAGGAATTTAAGGCCTGTCTAGGGGCTACGTGAAACCCTGTCTCAAAACACACACACACACACACACAAACACACACACACACACACCTCTTTCATCGGAGAACTGGTTGGATCAGAGAGCTGA